AGAGTGTTAAGTGAATGCAGTGCTGGGACAATAGGTATAAACAAGGAAGGACTGCCTTAGGCCAACTAGTCCATACGGTCCTGATCAGCTAGCCTAGCAAATCCACTTTCAGGGATTAAGCCTACAGATCTGCACAAAACACAATATCATATTTACAAGCATGTTCACTGCAGCAAAGTTTGTTATAACATAAAGTTGAGAATAACTTAGTTATTATAGTTACAATGGAAGAGTTAAATAATTATGGGAGATTCATATCATGGAATACTATGCAACTGTTTTACAGAATGAAGTAAATTTAATACATTGTTCAAAGAAAGATGTCCAAGATTGATGGTTAAATTAAAAAGCCATGACATAACGGTATATAATGAACCATTCATGTTAAAAAAAAAAAGGGCACATGTGAATGTACACACATATACATGCATATATACAGAATGTGTTTTGAAAGGATGGTAAGAACTTCAGTCAATACCTGGGGGAAACCCCCAAGGGAGGGAGGGTTGAGAGCCTTAAACTTTCTACTTCATTATTGTCTAAGTTTTTTCATGATTAGTGTATGTTACTTTTATGATTAAAAAAACAAATTTTACAGAACCCAATATAAACCAAATAGAATTTACTTGGAAGATTTTATAGTAATATGTGAATATATTCTCCCCATAAAAATTTAAACATGAAAGTATCTAAGAGTCTAAGGGACTCTTCCCTTTTACTCCTACCCAATCATATTCCCCTCTCAACCAAGAGGTAAACACTGTTAAATATGGTGTGTATCCTTCCAGATCAAACACATGTGGTTTCAGGATTTTTATAGAAACAGGATTATGTAATTGTATTGTCCTGTGATTTACACATTTACAGTTTAATAGATTTTAATAGTTAATAGACATTAATAGATTTAATAATTTATAATTAGCATAATTTTTATACACACAAATAAAAAGGATTATATCATTCATGTTGTGTTTCTTGGGGTTTTTTTTGCTTTTGGTCAGTTCAGTATTTTTACCATTTTTTCTCTTCTTGGCATGATTCCCACCCACCCTCTTATCTTTGTTAACAATCTAGTTTATGTATTTTTCTGGGTATTTCTTCATTGTCATATATTTATATACAAACATTTAGATACAATTTATTTTAAAACACCTATTTTGTTTTATCTACATGCATTGATAGTATTTAGAGCTGTGCTGTCCAACATGGAAGCCAGGAGGCACAGGCGGCTACTGAGCACAAGTTACGTGACTTAGTGTAAGACGAGATGCCTACTAAGGGAACTAGGGACTGTCAGTTCTAAATCCTGGGTTCCCCCTACTATGTATGCAATGATTCAATACCAATTGGTACAAACAAAGAATTGAGCACTTTATCTGGAGAGGACTGTGATAGTTACAAGCAAGGTGCAGAGGTAAAATGAGGGGTGGGAACAGATTATTTCCAAGGTTCCTACCAGCTTTATAATTGTAAAAATTTAGAAACCTCTACTGCTATCACTTTATGTCATATTTAGAAAGCGTATCTACACATCGACCCTGTTATTTTAACAATGCAGTTGTTTTATAAACATGAAAAGCATACTGACAGGTTCTTGGCTATATTTCTACTCACTCTGATTTACCTAGGCCTTAGACAAATTTAACCACCACCTTAAATATAAGCCCAGGAGGAAAAAAAAAAAATCAAACAATAGCAACAGTGTTAAACTGTACTCTTTTTTTTTTTTTTTCCCCGGTACGCGGACCTCTCACTGTTGTGGCCTCTCCCGTTGTGGAGCACAGGCTCCGGACGCACAGGCTCAGCGGCCATGGCTCACGGGCCCAGCCGCTCCGCGGCATGTAGGATCTTCCTGGGCCGGGGCACGAACCTGTGTCCCCTGCATCGGCAGGTGGACTCTCAACCACTGCGCCACCAGGGAAGCCCTAAACTGTACTCTTGAGAGACACCTCTTTCTACAGAGTCAAGAAGAAATCACCGAAGAGAAAATATTTGTAATCCATAAATATTTTCCACATCAGTCAAGAAGGAGTATGAACTGCCACTGAAAAGAAGACAAAAATAGCAGGCTCACTAAAAAACAAAAAACAAAAACTAGAAAATAAAACACAAAACAAAGAAACTGAAATAAGCTCTGAAAATTGAGGACTATCTGTGGGACCGGAAGGCAATGAGATGAATTTTGCAACTTGCTCACTTATTTGAGCAAAACAAATTACTTAGGAATTATTTAAGAACTGATGATAGTTTGATCCTCTGTGTTTCTTTCTTTACGGAAGATAAAGCAACTAAGTCCACATATTCTTTACAAATCCTGTTACCAAACACCTTATTGTACATTAATTCATTCTTTCAGCAAACACTGATCAAATCTGTGCTAGACACAGTCTGAGCACTTTACCTTGATCTAAGTTGTCATCTATTTCTTGGAATCTCACTCTTCGCTTAGATGGTTTCTGTTGCATCTGGGCAGTATGATCTCCTACAGTATTATTCCTCTTCTTTAATATAGAGACCAATCCTTCAGCATGAACAACCTGTCAGAGATTATAAGCACTGTTTGTTATATTATGACGGGACATATCAGTGATGTTTTACATGTAATGGTAAGAAGGCTAATTCAGTTCAAGGGGTATCTGAAGTCCTATTAGAGGTTTAACCAATTCCTATAGAAAAAAATGACAGTCATCAAAATCTAACAGAATAATACTTTCTCTTGTCTTCAGATATTGCCAAATACACATATCTAAAACTCTGATTGCTCTTCTAAAGCCCTGAATTGATTCCAGGGCCAGGCAGTGTGACACAGCATGGACTGGACATCAGGCCTAGTTTATCCTCATTTATAGCTCCGCTTCCCTGTTAAGTCATCTATAAAATGATTCCTTATGCCCTCTCTTTGCTTAATCATTAGTCCTGGGTTTTGCTTTGTAACAGAGGCTGCTTTTTTCATTCATCAGCAATTTTTAAGAAATGAACATGTGAGACTTAAAATATATTCGATACCAACTTTTAACATGAAAATGAGTGTTGTCCTCAGTTCCTCTGAGAAACTACACATTCTATATATATATAGAAACTACACTAAATAATGTTCTAGTGCTCTAAATGTCTTAAGGACTTCTCTTCTAGAAAATCTCTTAGACCCAGTTTACTAGGGACATATTACCCTGTAGTATGCAGAGGGTGGCAAACTATGGCCACTAGGCCAAATGTCTGCTGCCTAGTTTTGCAAATAGAATTTAATTGGAGCACAGCCAAGGTTACTCATCCACATATTGTGTATGGCTGCTACAACGGCAGAATTGAGTACAGACCATAAAGTCTAAAATATTCAATATTTGGCCCTTAGAAAAAGAAAAGAAATATAAAAAGACTTCTGTCTATTATTTCTTTAGTCCCCCCGCTACCTCTTTCTATGCTGTCTTTCCAGTTTTCACTTGGGACACCCTCTCTTCTGCCTCCACCCCACCCTTTATTTAGGAAGAAAGACAAAACAGAAACCCTTGCCATTTAGGAGTTAAAAGACTCTGAGGCACAGAGAGAAAGAGAACAGAATCAGTTGGTAGAGCCAACTGGGAAGCTGGAGGCCTTACCATAGGGCCCCCCTAGGCAGTAGGTTGATTCACAGAAGTTGACTTGTGAGTTGCCTGATTGAACAAGCTGTAGGTGATGACATAGGTGGGCACTGTGGCCCTAACACTGCTGATGTCAGTGACTTGCTGGTATCCGATCACTGTAAGCTGAGGACTTCCTGTAATGTCATTTACCTGATCAATGGTATAAAATATTTAATATGACTTCCAGTTCCAGCCAGCCACCTTTGATAATGAGCTATATATAAACATCACAGATTCTATTAGTTCTTTCTATAACTCAATGCTTTTAGGGCCAAATAACTCAATATAGTCTTCTACTGGGCTTCCCTGAACATGGGTCTATAGAAACCATTATCTCAAAAAAAAAAAAAAAAAAGTTAGCAATTTATTCTTTTTATAGAAAATATGTATTTCAGATGATGTAGTTCTTCTGAGAAAGCTAAAATACTTTAGCGACATTAAAATGATAAGTACAAATTATGCAAAGGAATAGTTTTTCAAATCTTTCATTAGAAAGCAACAATATTAAAGACCATCTTCATACAACAAAGAAAAGTGATTTTACAAGTACCTTGCTGAAACTGGGTACTTGAGGAAGGGAAAGAAATCCTAATAAGTTTCTAAAGAGCAAGACATGGAAAATGGAAACTAATTTTAATGAGTATATTACTACTAAAGATATATCATTGACTTAAAATTTTTAGTAAATGTAAAAAAAAATAGGAAGTTTTCACAGATTCATTCACTATTTCATTCCATAAAATAGTACATTTACCAAGAGTGAATTCACCTACCATAGGTGTTTTCAAGTTGCTTTAACTACTTAGAAAAAACATTCCTATTAAGAATAGTTACAAAGAGAAGCTCCAGAGTTGCATTACTGTAAACTGTGTGTCTTTATGATCTGAGTCTTGAATCTGTAAATTCAAGAGACAGACCCAATAATAAATCAAAAGACACTGCAAATATGAATAAATGGATGTTGAAAGACCAAGAGAAACTCTCAAAATCATCTGGAAAGACACAGAATGTGCTTCCAAGACCTAGAAGCCAGTCCTAGTGCAGCAGCTGTTAGGCCCCTACCTTAGCTCCTGCTTGCCCTAATCTGGTGTGTTGGGCTCCAGAAGTCACACAGTTAAGGGATACAAGACTTCCCGAGTGGCCCCATCTTATTTACTATGGATGGCAATGAACTGTGGCAAACGTTTGAAAAAGGGAAGAAGTAAGAGTATGAGGCATTACAGTTGTGTGGGATGAGCCAACATTTTATCTTGACACCCTCCCCACTCAACCCTTAATTCCTGGCAAAAAATCTATGCACAGCCTTTACATGCTTTTCCTTTTCCTCTCCCACCAAGAATCTTTTGTTTCAGCAGGGCTGCTCCAGTGTCTGAAGTGAAGGAATGTGTTCTTTTCCATTATTTCCTTTCAGTCTGATTCAGGGATCTTCTCCAGGGATCTTTCTTTTTTAACTGCCCTCTTGTCCTATAGTTTATAGGGATGGTGGGACTAAGTTTAGGCATAGGAGGTGCAAGCCAAGGGGGAAACTCTTAGAAGACAGGTGGGTGCGGTCCTTTCTGTTCTGACAAGAGTTCTGAGCAAGGGTCTTAGAACCTACCCCTAGTACAGAAATTCCTACTTATCATACCAAGACAGTCAAACAAAAAGAAATGACTTTGGTAGAGTTTACCTTAATTTTATGGTAGAAGGCAAGTAAGTTAAAACAAAGTCATGGTCTTAGTCTAGGGTCTCATTCAGAAGACTGCCAAGTGTTTCTAAGTAGGTTGGGAAGTTGAGTTAGGGCACATAGAAATGTGTCTTCTCCAAACTACTCTTAAAAAAATTTCTATGCCTTTTAATTTTTTAACATAATGTCAATATTAAAAGGTTAAGAAACTTTAAATCTCAAAAAATAAAGCTTTAAAAACTAAATTTAGGGAATTCCCTGGCAGTCTAGTGGTTAGGACTCCATGCTCTCACTGCTATGGGCCTGGGTTCAATTCCTGTTCAGGGAACTAAGATCCCACAAGCCACATGGTGCGGCCAAAAAAAAAAAAAAAAAAGTTAAAAAAAAACCAAAAACTAAATTTAGTTTCCCACTTCAATTACCAAATTCCTTTCCTACCAAAACAAAGTATACCAAGCCTTTAACACTGAGAACAAAAAGAATGTCTACACTGTAATTAGTGTAATTGTTACTGGTGGTACTCTATGAATAAGTGCAGAATTAAAACAAATAATGAAACATCCATCCGACCTAGCCCTGTATATTTATAAATAAATAGCTCTTCTGCACTTCCCCCTCAAACAGCAATGATCATCTTAAATAGCATTTTAATAATGAACTGTTTGTAAAAAACAAAATTATTCTGCAACTCTGCTGGCAAATTCAGAAAGGCCTTGCTGTTAGATCTGCCTCCTCAAATTAAAGGAGAAAATAGATACCAAATAGTATTCTTTTCTGATCAAGGCTTTACTCAACCCAGAAACTCAAGGTTGGTAAATTTTGCTTGGTTTCCAGGTAACTTGAGAAATAACATTCATAAATCATATTAGTATATTATAAACAGCTTAAATGCCAGCAATTTCACTGTAGAGAATGAAATTCTGGTCCTTCAATGACAAATTTTCCAGTACTATTCTTCACTGAAGGAACAAGTCATGGTTCTCTGCCTGGTCCTTTAGATTTGGGTTCCATAATAAGAACTATGATTTAGTGAACCTGCACTTTTTTTTTTTTTTTTTTCTGTACGCGGGCCTCTCACTGTTGTAGCCTCTCCCGTTGCGGAGCACAGGCTCTGGATGCGCAGGCTCAGCGGCTATGGCTCATGGGCCCAGCCGCTCTGCGGCACGTGGGATCTTCCCGGACCGGGGCACGACCCTGTGTCCCCTGCATCGGCAGGGGGGGGGGGGGGTCTACTGCGCCACCAGGGAAGCCCCTGAACCTGCACTTTATGTAAAGACCTTTACATAATATTTCATACTTAATCTTTACAACTCTATTATACAGGCATTACCAGTCCTATTTTACAGATGAAGAGGCCAAGGTGAGAGAGCTTAAATAACTTGCTTACATTTGTAGCACCAGTTATGGGCAGAGTTGAATACTAACTCAAGATTAAACCTCTTGCCATTTCCCTAATGTGAAAAGATCTTACTTTCTATGATTATTAAAATTTTGCTTAGTGTCATTTGTTATAATACATATTACAATTCAAATTAGATGAACAGAAATTTCAAATAAACCTAATAAGTTTCTTTTGTCTTTCCAAAACACTTTATAGCAATAAATCCTTATCGTATACATCACCTGAATTAAGAGATACTTAAACTAATGGCTAAAACCGTCAGTCTAGAGACACTGGGGAGAAGGTTAGATGAAAAATCCTTTGTGTCATTCAATAATCTGAAAGTACATTAATGTCATGGCTTCTACTACAGCAAATTAATATAACAAGTCACAGCAGGAGCAAGAGGAGGCGGCTAAATGGAGGAAAGCCATCTAGAAATAACACGACGGTGCTCTCTGGCACTACAATGCTGCATCTTAGAACACGACAACATGGAGAGTAAAAAACAAATGATGATGAAGTACATTGATATTAAATTTTTCAAAGATTAATTTAAAAAGGAAAAAAGGGCGCATGCATGGTCCTACCACAGTGTCAGCGCCTAGTCCATAGTGAGGGTGACAAGAAGTTAGTTTCCTTAGGACCAAGGAGGCAACCTCGCACCTGCAGGAAGACTTGTTGCCCCATCCATAGGGAGGAATAAGCTTCCTGTTACGGCTGCAACTGCTAAGAAGCCGGCCTTGCTGCAGTTTCTCCCAGACATTTTATAGATACCGTGTGGCTGACAGGGTCTTGGTGCTCCGGTCGGGTGTCAGGCCTGACCCTCTGAGGTGGGAGAGCCGAGTTCAGGATACTCATCCACCAGAG